AATAAAATAAAATAAAATAAAATAAAATAAAATAAAATAAAATAAAAAACAAGTAACAAGTAACCTTGTTTGTAGAGACTGTGGTTTTTTGATCGCCTTAAATCTTTTATGGTCTAAAAAATTAAATTTGAAAAAAGCGGTTATATTATGATTGAAAAAATTGGAATCCAATTTTAATGCTTAAATTAAGTTTTTTATTATTAATATCATAACCATTACGGTACCTGTTAAAAAATTTACGATTTTAATAATACTGTGTGTACTACATCATTTTATTCTCTTTGTCGTGACTCTTGCACATCCATACATAAATACTCCCAACAAATTAATGAAATAGAAGAAACCTATAAAACGGCCTTCATACGAAGCGCATGACAAAAAAATATCGTGACGTTAGACCTACGAGTAGGTGTGTATGTATGTACATACATACATATGTAGGCATAACTAAGTATATACACATACGTGTATACAAGTATTTTTGTTAAAAAGAAATTATTTAATTAATATAGAAAAAAATTAAAACAAAAAAAATATTAAACAAATAAAAAAGTCAAATTCCCATACCGGGAATCGAACCCGGGCCTTCTGGGTGAAAGCCAGATATCCTAGCCACTAGACCATATGGGATATACCACGGCGGCAAGCAAATATTGTACTTGACCACTATTTTGTTGCTCATGCTTGGGGTTATTAACGAAGTCGACTACTTACACGCACAAATATAGCTGTCGCTAACGCATATGCTAAGAGAATTATAAAAGCTGCGCTCTTTAATTTTTTACGCTCTTATGACAGTGTATTAGTATTCTTATAATTTACTAAAATAGTACCTGAAGCAGTGTTCGGACTCTTCTACAATTACTTTATACTAAAATAATTCTACTTCATCCTGCAAAATAGTCGACCACTAAAGCAATTTTTCTTAAAGCATAGACAGACGTGGCAACGTCGATCCTGATTAACGGCGCAGTTTATCTGATAAAAATTTTGACTTGACAGACGGCAGTAATGTGGATTAACGAGCCGCTAGTTCGTGGGTTCGAGTCCCGCTGTCAGTAGATTTTTCCTTTAATTTTTATTATTTTTTTTTACTCAATTATACCATGTATATTTTTAAAATTTTGCTTTTAGTTAGTTGTTGTTGATTTTTTAATAAAATTTAACCACAAAAATAAAGATAAAGTAATAATAACATAAGTGATGCGAAATAAGATAAAATAAAGTAAAGTAAAGTAAAACATATAAGTAAATCAAATAAAAAACAGGTTGGCTGACAAAAAATAAAACTAACTTCACACCGATGTAACTGACAAACCAATAAGGAGAAACTACACTTCATTGTTTTGTTTCATAACGAAACACACGAAAGCATTTTGATGTTTGTGAAGGAAAATTACAGTTATACGTAATAGAACTTAAACTTAATAGTGTGATTGTTTTTTATTTGGCGAGAAAATCGCAAATGACCATTGTTCGAGCCTTCAACACCTAAATATGAATAAATCATTTGTTTCTCGTACTATAGCTTACTATTGTGATACGGGTAGCGTTGCCCGGCGCCTAGGAACTGAACCAAAAAAAGAGAGTAACAACACCAGAAATGATTTGTAAATTGAAGAACCGAATTGAGCGAAATCAAATGGCAAAAGAGCTAAACATATCGCGGATTGAAGTTCCAAAAAGAGATCTTAACAACGCTGAAGAAAAAAAGTTAAATTCGAAAGAGCCAAAGTGTTGCTTCGTTTAGCTTAAAGTGGTAAATTGCCGAAATTGGTTTTCTCCGATGAATTACCGTTCGTAATTGAGCAGTAGGACGGATGGTATTGAAAATGGGCAATATCGGACCAAAACCACGCCTATATCCCATATAACGGTAGTTTTCAGAAATACGAAAGCTGCGATATTTTTGTAACTACTAAAGCTTATTCACTCAAAATTTATAATTACAATAATTTTTAGAAGAATATTATACATTTTTTTTTATGACAACATGTGTATATCTCGGTGACCGCTCCACCAATTTCCCCCAAACTTGGCACGGTTGTTGGTGTTGGTATAACAAACAAATTTGATGTTTGTAATAATTCTTAAACAGAAAATACGTTTATGATAAAACTTTGGAAAATGGGCGTGGCACCGCCTACTTGTGACCACATATGTATATCTCAGTAACCGTTTGAGCAATTTCAACCAAAATGCTGATAATTATTGAAATCGGAAATAACATACGCCCACTTTTTATATAACGGTAAATTTCAGAAATGCTTGAAACTTTGATATTTCGAAATTTAAGGACGCTAATTTACACAAAATTGATACTAACAACAATCCCTTGAAAATAAGTAACATTATTATGGAATTTTGGAAAGTTTATCAAAGATGTTGGAAATATGGATGAAACCACCCCGGCATTCAATGTAGCGTTAGTTGTACGAAAGGTGAAAAAGCTACATTTAATACTTACGCCGGGTATCTAATGTTCAGCTGCGCCCGAACTTAGACCTTTTTCCTTGTTTCACTTATAATTGCATTGGATCTACTTTGGAGCTTTTCAGTCAACTCCAATTTTTTCTCTGATCTATTGCGAAATTAAAATTTCTTAATCCGAGCACTAATCAGTAATCTTACTAGAGTCCGACCGATTCCAATTTTTTTCAGGTACCGATGCCGATGCCGATTAAGCGGCTTATGGGGAAAGAATCGGCCGATGACGATGCCGATTCCATAAAAAAATACAAATAAATGTATTAATTCATAAAATCAGTTCATTTCACGGAGTTAAAAAAACAAAAGAAAAGAAATAATTGAATTAATTGGCTTGTTATGCAACATTACATACACATGTATGTACATATGTACATACATATGTATGTGTAAAAATATATGTACATATATCACATTTATGTACATTACATAAAACACTTTTTATATGGTGCTAAGCAAAAGATATTTAGGAACATAAAATTTCATTTCGTTTTGTACTAAAATACACTCTTTTGCACTCAATGCATAAGAACTTATATGCTAGGTATGTATGTACATACATATAGTGGTCCACAAAATAAAAGAATTGCGATATTTTGACCGATTTTGTCTTTTTATACCCGAGCGCACTTGTGCACAAGGGTATATTAATTTGGTTCACATAACGGTTGTTTGTAACAGCCAAAACGAATTGAGATAGATATAGACAAATGTATACATAAATGATCAGGATGAAAAAAGAAATCGATTAAGCCATGTCTGTCTGTCCGTCCGTCTGTCCGTCTGTCCGTGTACACGATAACTCGAGCAAAAATTGAGATATCTCAACGAAATTTGGTATGTAGATTTCCCTTAATCCAAGGTAGGTTGGTATTGAAAATGGGCGAAATCGGACTGTAACCACGCCTACTTCCCATATAACGGTAATTTCCAGAAATACGAAAACTGCGATAGTTTAGTAACTACTCAAAATTGATATTTACAATAATTTTTAGACGAAAAATAAGAATATTATAAATTTTTGGAAAATGGGCGTAGCCACGCCTACTTATGGTTACATGTGAATATCTTGGTAACCGCTGCACCAATTTCTTCCAAACACAGTTGTTGGCCTTGATACAGCATACTAAATGGCCGAAAATTTTTAAAATCGGACGATAACCACGCCCACATCCCATATAACGGTAATTTAGAGAAATACAAAATCTTCGATAAATCAGTAAATATTGAAGCTAATTTATTCAAAATTGATGCTTGCAACAATTCTTTACCAAGAAATACGTTTATGGTAAAATTTTGGAAAATGGGCGTGGTACCGCCCACTTATGATCACATATATGTATATCGGTAACCGTTCTACCAATTTGTACCAAACTCGGTATTTTTATTGTGCTTGCCACATAAAAGAAAAACGTTGAAAATTATTGGAATGGGACTAAAATTACGGCCGCTTTTCATATAACGGTAAATTTCAGAAATGCTTGAAACTTCAATAATTCGAAATTTAAGGACGCTAATTTACTCAAAATTGATACACCCGGCTTGCCATCTAGCGGTAGCTTTCGGAAAGGTGAAAAACATATATTTAATACGTGCGCCGGATATTTAACGTTCGGCTCCGCCCGAACTTAGACTTTCTTACTTGTTTATTTAATGTTTATTATTTTTTTTTATAAAAAAATTAGTAAAAGTCTGCTTATTTTCACCAAAATTTCAAACTCTTTAATCAGAATTTTGGTATGTAGTTTTGCAGACCATTTCATTCTAGTATAATGAAGTGCAAGTTTCAAGCTGCTATAAAATCCCGTTAATTTTTGGCAATTTTTTTTGCTGTCAGTGTTCTCCATATAAAAGAAAATTGTCGCACATACTTTTGTATGGAAAAAACGTGAAACACCTTCAACAAAAAAAAATCATTTTTGTGAGCTGTCTGCAAATGTTTTTTAATGTGGGCTGTCGCTTCACCTGAACATTTGAAAAGAAATTCCAAAGAATCGGCAAAGAATCGGCAAAGAATCGGCGAAAAAAGGCCGATGCCGATGCCGATGGTCAATTTCGTGCCGATACTAGCCGATGCCGATGCCGATTAATCGCTCGGACTCTAAATCTTACTTCTGCCAAAAATATCCCAATCGGACCTTTTCCAACATTGCCGTTAGATCTATTGACAACGTTGATGCGCAGAAAAAACAATCGCATCATTTCGTAAAAAAGATCAGGAGTTGTTCCCGTGCATATAAGATCCGCAAATTAAAAATCCATTGGTATACGCTTTTTGCCTAGTGATCGCATACCTTCTTTTTGATTGTTGCTGTTTCCGACAGGGTAGGAGTATGATGCATTGTTTCCAAACCAAAATTTACATGAAATGGCGGAAATTCTGATTTGTCCTCGTTTTAGACCAATTATGGATTTAGCATGAAGCGAAGTCGTTTTGATTTAATTTTTTTAGATTTAATGTCAGATTCATATTCTGCGACTAGGGATTTCTAGTGGGGGGTTGAAATTCGATTTGTTGAAGCAGTTTTTGATGTGAGTAATTTTTACATAATGAAAACCAAGCATTAGAACAGTTTTCAGATTATAAAGTATCTGAAGTGTTATTTACTTTTTATGAATTTATTTGTATAACTGGGATGTGTAACTATTTAAATCAGTAAAAACATTTCACTGTGAGATAATACATACTTAAACATTTATCGAAGTTCCGATAATTCCACTTTCTTGTACATTTAAAATTCATTCGATGCATCGAAAATATTTGTTTTCATATACGATTCATCGATGGCAATATTTCGATGCATAAGATAGAAAAAACATCAATTTATCGTGCCACACATAGTGCTACTAAATTTAGTCGGAAAGAAGGAAGTTGCAGAGTTGCTTTTTTGCCAATAAAGACGAAATTCGATTTTTTATAGAAAAAATCGATTTTATCCGAATTTTAGCACCAAAAAGTTCGAAGCTTCGAGTATCGATTTTACCCATCCCCATCAACGACCCCAACAACCCAACCCAGCGAAAAGTTGCAAGCCAGTCCCATAAAATTTCACATTTTGGCCAGTTTTGATCGCTTCCTGACCCATAGTACATTGATGTACGTTGAATCCAGTTTACATATTACAGTAACTGGAGAAATAGGTCACTTTGTAATGAGATTATTGTCCAGCAAATAATGAAAACAAGCAAAAAAAATATTAAAACTACAATCACAGCAAAAAATTTATCACATATGTCATATGCGCCGTATGTATACATATGTATGTATGTATGAATTAAAAAAAATTTACATATACATATTTTTGTAATAGCATACATTTAACATCCAAGTACACTTAATTAAATTGTTTATTAAATTCACTTATAATTTTGCTTTTCGCCTCTTTTTCCCTTCCCTCTTTTTACACAAAACATCGAAATAAATACATAAAAACCACACAACAACAACGCAATACAACAGATTCTCTCCACCGGCGCCGTTCTGCTACTCTCAGCCGCCTGTGGCATGCCTATCGGCTACTCGGCCGTTCTACTGCCACAATTGTCGGATGTGAATTCGACCGCAGCGGAGATTGCAATAGACATTGAAATGGGCTCATGGATTGGTAAGTTTATACATATGTACATATTTACATATGTACATAATGTGCGATTTTTCAATTTTTTACTAAACTTTTTCTTCGATTTTACAGCAAGTGTCCATAGTTTGGCCACTCCTGTGGGCGCGCTAATCTCAGGACCCTTAGCTGATTTTCTCGGACGCCGCTCCACATTACTGCTATCGATTATTCCCCTTTGTACAGGTTGGATTACGCTCGCTTTGACTCAATCCTTCTGGGTGATTATACTTGGGCGCCTTTTGTGTGGATTTTCTACCGGATTACTTGGTGGACCTGGACAGGTGAGCAGGATTTGTTATTGAAAAAAAAATTAAATAGGGAAATGGCCTCTGCAAAATCTAAGATCGAAGACTTTTAACCTATCACAAATGTCAGAGAGACCTCTTACAATAACTTCCTAGCAGTTACTATACTTAGTATATGATTGCTAAACATTTAGCCAGAGAATCTGAAACCTAAGGCTCGTGAAGATATATATCGTATATATATATCATATATGGGTGTTTCCAGCGGAAGGTCCACCACGACAAAAAAAGTTAAAGTCTTATATCTAACGTATTTACGGGCCGATTTGTCTGCTTTTTAAAATATATACTGGCTATGTAAGTAGAATCATCTTTGCATAAAATGGTCTTCCTAGGTGGTGCCAAGGTCGAGATATTTCGAAAAACCGTATTTATGGTCTGATTTGGTTCGAATTTGGCGTATGTGGTTGAAACATAATAAATCATAGATTTCTAATAAATTGACCCTGAATTGGCGCTGAAGTAAAAATATAAAGTATATTCTACATAAAATACATGTTTTATTTGCGTTAAAAATTCATTTAAAAGCAATATTAACAAAAATATAACGATGGAAATTTATGTCACGTGACGCCACGTCACGTCACGTTTCACACTTGGGGTTGTAAAAGAGAATTGAAACAATTTGCATTAATTCAAAAAACTCTAAAAACAACTAGAATTGCTCCAAATCATATTAAAATAAGTTTTATGAAAATAGCTATCCACAATTCGCAGAGTTTTGCGATTTTGTAAGAAAAGAAAAAATCAACTTCCATTTTTTGTCACGTAACGATACTCTCTTTAAATGCTTATATTTCAGGACCAAGCAGTTCGATTGATTTCATTTTTCGGTTAAATATAGAGCTAATTATGTGCTATACAATGGCCCAAAAAAGTTAAAGAAAACAAGTGGTATTCCTTTTTTGTATCACATTGAAATCGTGCGACTGTCACGTGCGCCACCATGGGAATGGCAATATACATTTTTCTTGGCCATTTCTTGGGCGTTTTTTTCTACTCGCCGAACTAAATAAATGCTTACAAATAATAACATAAAAACACATTTGATTTTTATTAACCCGTAACTTCGTTTGGATAACATGCTAGAAAACCAAAAGTTTGTCTCTACGGGTAGGCATTGCTGTTATTGAAGAGATTAAAAATAATTCATTTCAAATGGAGAATAACGAATATTTAAAAAAAAATTAAAACGACCAGTGCAGATCTCTATTATTTGAGAATATCAAGCAGCACTTGATTGGCAATTGTATTTCTCAATTTTTAAAATAAACTTTATAAAAAACAAAAGATTGAACTGTACTTAAAATTTTTTTGGTGTTTTTCGAGCATATTTGCAAACATCTTTACCAATGTTTTAGTGCTTATCTAAACCCTTAAAATTGATTTCTTCTTGCTTTCTCTCCAGCATGTGTAGGTTAGATAAAAATAGATGAAGAAAATAGTAGTTACTGACTACTTTATAATATTTCTGAGTATAAAGCAGGAGGATTACAGAAATAATATCTTCTAAAATAAGTGAGAAAACTATATTATCACGAGAAGGCACAACACAATGATATTGATACTCATCGATATGGCATCCATCATTTTGGAAAAATTTCCGCACTTGTGGCAGACACTTTTTGTGTATTTCGGAGACCTTGAGCATCACAAAAGTCTCCTATTTTAATGGCCAGATGCGCCTTTCCAAGAAGATTTAAGAGATAACACCAATTCGGGGTCGGAAGCGGCCTATACTCTTGAAAAGAGTGAGAATCAGGAAGAATATAGCCACCAATAACTCCCAGGGTTCACAATACACAAATTTTACTAACTCAGAAGGGAAAGAAAGGGATGCAGAACTTCCTTACTCTTCAGCCATAAGCAATTTTCCTCTCAATGTATTCAGCAGGTGGCTCAGATCAGGGTGCCATACCTTCGAAAAAACGGTGACATTTCGTTAGGTGGAGTAGCAATATATAGAATAAGGAATATGCCAATGCTCACTCCAATGTCCTATCGGCCAGCAAAATTGAAGTAAAAGTTTACCAAGGACAGCATGAAAAACAGGATCCTAACAGGGTGGGAAAAATATCTGCGATGGGACATCAAAACATCAGATATGTATATAACGTGCTCTCCGCTCAACGTAAGGGCATAAAGAGCGCTAACCGCCAAAAAGACGTAAGCGAATTTTTTTTTAATTTTCTTTTTGATGCATAAATATTTCTATAGAATCTAGATGTATTTCTGCCTCAACAATAAAATTAAACAAAAAATGTCACTTATGTCTTTTTGACGGTTAGGGCTCGATAATATGTCAAATATCAAAACTATTTTACGTCGCCTCCGAACGGCAGATGGTTTTTTGTGAGATGCTTCTTCATGGCAGAAATACACTCCAGCAATTTAGAAATAATTTTACAGCATCCGAACAAGAGAACAAAGATTATTTTAGGCAGCACTTCATGTATGTATGTATTTGTGAACAATCCAAAGTACAAAAAGTGTATGCGGTTTTTCTCGAAAACCTTCATTCGAGCGAAATTAATCAAACTTGATTTACGAGTATGCCTGGCATTAATGACGTCGCCAAAATAGGGAAGCCAACAACCCACGCATAAAAATTCAATGCTATTTTCAGTAACTCATAAATATGGGTCATTCACACGACGCACATTTCATAACAAATTTTTAGTTAAACGATGACCTTGCGTGCCAGTGACACACTCACCAAGTAAACCACCATATTAATGACAGCTTCGGGAACTGGCTGTCAAAGTGAAGAGATAGAAGGGAGTATTTTCATAGAATCCGGTGTACAGGGTGTACTAGTGAAACTATCACATAGAGAGTACTAACTAACACTGAATGATGATTGCCTGACGCTGTAGACTGCCTTGAACTCTCGCTAGTTGAGGTTCAAGAACGAGCGAAGGAACTTGAGTGGGGAATCTTAGAATTTTACCGGCATCTCGTATGCTTATTTTCTACAAAATAAATTGTATTATTTATTTAATTTATGCCACTTAGATCGCCATCGCTTCGAGTGGTATCCCGCAGTTTGCATTTAATTATAATCAGCCGCTCGTATTTAGTAGAGCTATGCTCGCTATGGGAGACCGCTTTCTTTCTAAATGCGAACAAACATAATTTCTTATAGCTTAGTATTATAATACTGAAACTGCTTCCGTCAACAAACAATCAACCGTTCATCCATTTACATGCCACTCTGCCAGCAATTCAATTTACTAGCGCCCGTCATGTCCAAACCAATTCAAATTCACAAATTTGATAAGAAATACCTCAATTGCTTATTCACTTACTCACTCTCCCTCTTTTTTGTGCGGGAAATTGGCGCGTAATTTTTTTCTTTATCTCGTCTTGCATCTTATGGATACGACCCTGAGGTGTCAACGCCTTTTATCATAGCCAAACAAGCCAACAACAACAATCTGCGGCAATCAGTGTGCAAATGTGTGCTGGCGCATGAATAACTCTTATCTACAGTTCCGGAATCTTGACCTCAGACTATAGTTTAGTTAAGAATTAAGTTGAGCGAATTTTGCCTGCCATAAGCTGTGTGAAAAGTGAATTTTATTAATAAATATATTACGTAAAAAGCGCAATACGTAACGCAGTTTTGAACCATTTTGTTTTTTACATAGAACTGAACTTACACATTGCTCTGTGCATTCACATTTTCGTGAATTAAATTGCGACCCTGCCACCCTATTGAATTTTGTTACGTGTAGGTGTTGTTTACATTCTCCATTCACCTTTGATCAATTACGTTGTTTTGTTGCATTTGAGTTGTTTGCGGAACCGATCCAACACTTCCATGTCTAATGAGAACAAGTTTGTGAGAACATTTTCCTGTCCGGAATCCCTCGCGAAGGAGAAGACACCACAGTGATAGAATTTATAGATTTCAGTACTGAGTAAGAATAGTAGACGATTTTTCAACTAAACCTATTCTTTCAAACATACGAGGATGTCCCCAAAGCCTTCAGTAAGGTTATTAATAAAGCCCACAGCGAGGCATTACTGGAACAATATCTATCTATGGAAATTGAGATTCTCTTAAAATGCACGACCACTTTTGACACCATTCAAAATTCGAATGCCGAATCGACTATATCCTGAAACAAAAAGGTTGACACAACAGCGAGTCACGCTGAAAAGAAAATGAGAGCTCCTTAACATTAAAACGGCAATGAATGAACTGTTTAGCTTACCTACTAAGCGACGAAAAATTCGATAGTTTGGGCAACGTGGTTAACATTATTATTAGAAAAAATTAAATTATACCGAATATCCTACAGAGCGCGCCGTAAGTTAATCCGAAAATACTATGCAGCACATTTGTATTCTATAGAGACAAGGAAGGGGGCAAACGAATTAGACAATATTTCGGAGCTAGTGGTACCATTTCTTTAAAGAAATGAGATGCCAGGAGGTTATCCTATATAGCTCATAAAAAGCAATTGAGGCACTAAACCTCACAATCGCCACAGCAATATTGAAGGGAGACGATGATAAAATCAACTCAACAAATTCCAACGGCTAGCCTGCGGGACTATCACCGACTAGGAAATTCGCATAGATTCCAAAGATCAAATAATACTTTTCCGCTTAAGAAAAACCTTAGCTCTGAGGCATTGAATGGAAGACGTTAGACTAGATACGGATGTGTGAGAGTGATTTTGACTCTAAAATAAGATTAAAATTGGAATCCATTTGGAAGATCGATTAAAATAATGGCATACCCTTTTTTCAAGCGGAACATTTCTATTTTGATTCAAAGTTTTTCATTTATTCAATGTGGCATCTCTAAGCTAGGAACTAAGGCTTTCATGAGCACTAGAAAACGACCCCCAACAAGATCCAATGGCTAGCCTGCAAGACTATCGCCGACTAGGAAACTAGCCTCAACTCCAAAACAAAGAATATATTTCTTGCTTAAGTCTTTAATAACAAAGTAACAGGGTGAAAAGAGCCATTTCACCATTAAAACAACTTTGGAAGATCGATTACAATAATTGCATACCCGTTTTTTCCAAGCCGAACATTTTTATTTGGATTCTAAGTCTTTCGTTTATTCAATCTGGCATCTCTGAGCCGTTATGTAAGGCTTTCATGAGCACACGGTGCTACGAAGACAGTTTCAAGGCATCCAGTCATCGACTTTCCTCTATAAAGGCGTGCGATGAAAAGGAGTAGCTAAAAATATCTGAAAGCCCGAAATCCAATCATTATCAGTAGCAATCGGCAGGACGGAGTAGACACACTAACCAGCTTGGTAGGGCTCAAGGTCTATTGAAAACCTCTGCCTTATTTTTGGCCTGGTGAAGGTCCGTAGCACGCGAACTGGTTAGAGCGCGCTCAAATGCTCTTGCTGCTAAACTACTATCATTGTAGCTTCCATACTGTCCTGGACTATAGCCCGGGGGCAGCCCCCTAACACACGAATGCCTAACTCACACGACGGTGCTCTGTGACAACCCCACAAATGCAAATGCACGCTACTAACTGGGACCCATGTTTCGCCTGTAAAAGAAAACGGAACCTCAGATACTCCACAAAAAGGCACACACAAGGAGTCTTCGTGACCTGGAATCCATCAAATTTTTTAATTAAAGAGACATTTTTCATTCAGTCAACATTCATATTCCTTCGCTAATCCCTTGCCTGAGACTTAAATTAATAGAAATTCTATTCAGAAAAAAATGTATATGATGGCCATTACATATATACTAATATCTCTGATTTCTCTCATTTCAGGTTTACATTGCCGAAACAGCTGAGCCCAATTTGCGTAGCATTCTTATTGGTGCACCCTACGTCTCCTACTCTCTAGGTGTGCTCATTGTTTATTCACTCGGCTCAGTGTTGCATTGGCGTCACGTGGCATGGTGTGCCAACATACTCCCAATCTTCGCTGCAATCGCTATATTCTGTATACCTGAAACACCTGCTTGGCTAGTGAGAAACAATAAACTCGCAATGGCGCATCAGGCGCTTACTTTTCTGCGTGGCAGCGAGATTGTCGCACATAACGAGATCAACGATATGAATGAGAGACTGAATAAGGAACGTGCCAACACAAATACCAACGAGAACATCTTTCAGCTGTGCACCGAACGCTGTGCCATCAAACCGCTCGTCATTGTCATCACATTCTCAATGCTGCAAATGCTATCCGGTTCATTTATAGTTATCTTCTATGCGATCGATATTATTGCTGACTTTGGCGCCGATGTTGATACGAAATCTGCTGCAATTTGGACTGCAGTGGTGCGCACCTTCTGTTCAATCATCTTTTGCGTAGTTTTACTATTCGTGCAACGTCGACGCATTCTAACAATCTCGAGTATCGGCTCGGGTCTGAGCTGCTTGGTATTGAGTGTGTATATGTATATGCACATAGGGCTGGCGAAGACTGCCACAGATGTGCTCGTAGCGGCAGCCTGTCTCTTCACCTACATTGCCTGCAATACGCCATTGATGGTAATGCCGGGCATAATGATCGGTGAACTCTTTCCTGCGCGCATACGAGGACGTACGGCCGGTGGAGTTTTTGCCGCTATGAACGTCAGCCTCTTCGGGTTGACAAAAGTATTTCCACTCGTGCAATCCATTATAAAAATGCGTGGTGTTTTTATGATATTTGCAATCTCTAGCCTAGCGGTAACGATTTTCATGTGGTTGTTCCAGCCTGAAACCAAAGGTCGCTCACTGGATCAAATTGAGGATTACTTCAATGAGAACAACTGGTTGTGGTTTAAGCGAGATAAGCGATACAAGCAAGTGGCTTTGGACGAGAAAGCAGCGAAGGCTGCGATGAAGGCTGGCGCGATAAAAGCTTAGAGGGGAGGGTTATAAGTAGACTAATAAAAAATATACGTAAATATTTAGTAATTGTTTAAAAGTAGTGAACTAGCAGTAGCTCAATAGCGAGTAGTGATAAAACGCAGCCAGCTGCAGTATATTCGCAAAAAAAGAGTTATAGATATTTGCAGTGAACGAAAAACTTAAAATAAACCTTACGAATTTTTAAATATTTGTGGTAAAATAGGTATACAACAAGTTATTCTTAAGCAAAAAAACAAAACCGACTTCAATTCTCATATAAAAATTCAAGACTACCGTTAATTTCTTTGTGATCGAAATTAGTATGGGACTACCTGTGAGGTAACACAGGTTAACGTGATCCAAAGTTATGTGGTAACATACATAAAAAAAACAAAAATATATTCCGACGAATTGATGACCTACTCCTTTTTGAAGTCGGGTAAAAAAAGGCCGGGAACGTAATGTACATATATGTGTATATAAAAAACTGTAGTTTTAAAAATATTATTTGCATACTAAAGGGCTAAATATGATTTCCGAAAATGCAACAAACTGTGACAGCGATCTGCATTTAAATTCTTTCTTCTGAAGTCTTATTCAAAAAATAAAAAATAAAATAAATACTTATTATCTCAAAAATATTTAAGCTATTTCTTAAGTCACTCAATTACCTCGTAAATATTGCATTCTGCGTCGTTCTATTAGACGTTTTAGAGTTAGTAACAGATTCATAGGTTTTAAGATTTTCTAAGTCTTCCTTAATCGTAACTATTTAGTTTTAATATTTTCTGTATATTACTGAAGCTTTAATAAAAAAATATACAAACACATATTACGTACGTATAGACGTTTTTCTTTTCTCACAAGTTGCGCATAAAAATCTCTCATAAAACATTTGAAATTTAAAAATATTAAAAAAAAACATTACATAACTCAAATAATTGCTGTCAATAAGAATTGCATCACCCAAGTGAGGTCCATCTGACCAGTAATAAAAAAGGCAAAAATAGTTACCTCAAAACCAAATTCTACATACATAAGAATGTAGGAGAACGGAAATTGATTCCGATATACATAAAATTAAAAAAATAATAATTTTTAAAAAACTAAAAACTCGCTTTTATAATATCCATTCGTACTGTCATCAGGTTACCGCTAGGCGCATCAATATTATATCGTTACATCCCAAGCTAATAAAAGCGAGGTTATAAAGCTTTTTTCACAAAACCATAGATCCGTCGGATAAGCCCAGAGAAAAGCGTAGCTGGCCTCAAGCTATACAAATGCGATACAATTGTTTAGCGGCTTCTATATTACATATGACAGAGGTGAGATAGGCCGTCCCAACGTTGGCGTTGTCTCGCTAACCCTATAGTGTCTGCTAGGTGACTCATTTTTAACGGATGATTGTACATGCTTTTGGATAACATATATTGCGCACCTCTAAGGATCACCGGAATGCAGCACAGCTTATACGCGAGTCGATTTGGATGGGTTAGTGAAAATAAATATATGTTAGTTACACCGACATGACTCTCGCATGCCTCTGAATGACTCAACTGTGTCAACACGTACACAGATGTCTCGCGAGTCAGACGCACCGTCTATGGAGCCCGTTAGACACGTTAATTATGTAAATTATCTATGAAGTTTTCTAGACCCAAAACTAACGCAGAGGCTGAAGGTAAACCGAGCGTACAAATTTTGAAGAAAATTCCGCGAAACCTCTGCAGTTAGATTCTAGAAATCGCCACGCTAAATTTGTATCGAAACATCCCACAATGGTTATGATTTTACTACATTGAACCCCTTCAGCTCTCTCGTTGCATATTTTTCGGCCCATATCTTATTTATTTAGAAATTTCACTGAAGTCCAGGCGGCAGAAATTTTGCGTGGCGATTTCTAGAATCCCACTGCTAGATTCAGAAACCAGCTGTGGTACTTTGGGTATAATTGGATTTAATCAGCAGACATCTGAATAGATAAAAGTACTTGGATAAATGTCAGTGCAGTATTCATTGCAACCTTCCATAAATAATGTAGTTATGCCAAAAGTTTTCTTCAGGAAGATAAACACCTTAATTTTTCCATCTGTCCAAACTGTCTTCGAAAATTTAAAGACATTGACAAAGACAATGAGAGAAGTGTGAATACATAAGTAAAAAAGTGCGAATATACATATTGCTATTGCATCTGCAAAATTGAGTTGTGTAAACCCCAAGTACGCGGTCATAAAGAACAGCTGATTTTTGTTTGCAGACGCAACGTTCTTTACGTCACATCAGTTTCATCCTTGAGCGTCCCGTACGCATAGTCCTCTATCTGGCAGGGCTAAAAGTCAACATACACCTCCGATGGTCGGAACAATTAGGGCTACAAAATCGTTCCATCTAACACCTGGAAACTGTTTACAAATAAGTTACTAATTAGTTTTATTTTCTCAGACAGTCGGGCTCGATTAGGGTGCTGCTGTAACCTCCGGTAGCCACTTCGACCTTGCCTAACCTAGCGCACCAACTTTTCGAATGCATATGAACTTACTGACGAGCTGCACACACAGTTTACAGGGTTCTTAAGTAATGCTGTAAAAAATGTTTGACTTTGCTTGACAAATGTGAGTCAAGTTTTTCTAATTTTTTTTTATCATTTTCCCGATCGCGTTGTAAGAATAGAAATTTCGTTTGTAATTTTTTTATAATCTTATATTTTTTCTCACTTTCGTAATTTTTGCCCGGACATATTTTTGAAATTCTCTTATATGCGAAATTATCGTTGCAGAAAATGTTGAGCGAAAAGAAAGACAAAGATTTTTTAAGCCAATTTATAGCCAAAAAAGATGTGCCCTCCTGGTTTCGCGGCACATCTCCATTCCAAATTGAAGCAGCCGATCAGCTTTCTACCTCGATACGAGATGATATTGAACAGGAAACATGCCATCGGGTGTGTCATTGCTTAACCCGGCTCGGTTTGGTGCCAAGTGTGCCCCATAGGGACTTAAAAATTCTCATGAAGCTGAGTGGTGGTAATGATTTAGCCTTTTTATGGTTTCTCATGGAGCTATATTACAAGACACCAGGAGACAAATACAACAGCCTCAATGAACAAGTAATACTCTCGTCGATAGCGCATCTTGATATGGTAACAACATTACGTGAATTGGATCGTATTTTACCGCCGGGTCATGCGTCGAAGCGACAATTGGAACAGCGACGGAAGCGGCTACAAAGAAATAAAAGTTGGCACATGCTACCGCATGAGAACCCTAAGAAGCAATCGTCTTCGCCCTACTTTGATCGATTAGAACGGCCAGTGCCATATGGTAAACCGCTGGATCTAGAAAGACCAGATTATAAGGTACGATTCTTTCGTTATGACATCTATAAGGACCCAAATTATATGCCGCCAAATGAGCAGAATCGTTGGTATGCTAACTATTTTTTGAATAAAGCCAAACGTATTTCGACAAAAACAGTACGCGATTACCTCAATGAACTTATGGAAGTTATCGGCCTTCTTCCGTCTACCATAGAGGATGCTACTACCTTTATAGATTTGGCATTAGAGGGGATGACAGACTTAAAACATGGCAGAACTTTATGTAAGAAGCATGAATTAGAAGAGGAAGAACGTCGTTTTAGGCGTGAGCAGCAGGCTGTAGAACATCGGCAAAAATGCTTAAAAAGTCTAGAAATTTTCCCTAAACAAAAACAGGTAGGTAAATATGCATAGATATTCTATTAGTATGGGGGTTTGAGATACCATTTATAGTGATGCTTCAAACTTATTAGGGGTGTCCTAGACCACCAGCTTCTGAAGAGGAGGCAAATGTTTTTTACAACGCTTTTATCAACTTGCAATGTTGTGTTCCAGAAACTTTCAATGTTGTGTTCCAGAAGCTTTCAATGTTGTGTGTCCGACACCATATAGCAAAGCTTTGAAAAGCTCCTATAAAAAAGCATAGTGAATAGGGCGAGGTAGAGACATCTAGATGTCGCCCTATGTACTACGTTTGCTACACCGGAAATAGACGACACGCCATTCTTTAAATAAAATTAATTGGTGCTCGTTTGTATGTACATACATATGTAAATGCATGGGTGTGCACCTTTCTATTAATATCGTTGAATTATTTTAATATCTAATGCAAA